CACAGCAGTAAAAGCTGCTCATTTACAATGATGTCTAAACAAGCAAATTAACAGGGAGTGCTTTCACCTGTAGCATTGACTGCAAACAGGTGATTACAATCGTACCAATAAAAGAATAGCAGAAGCTTTCCTTTTCCATCAGCAATGCCAATTACACTTTCCTCCTTTATTTAGCAACATTCACAAATGGAGATCTGCAACTTATCGGTTGTTAGTAATATAAAACTGGTGTTAACATGTTCAGGGAAAAAATAAAACAAAATTATTGATATGTCATTGCCTGCTTTGCTAAACCCTTCTTGTTCAAAAATACTTAAATTATATACCAATTCTGGTACATAAGGGATGTCATTAGAAATGACAAGACAATTATACTAGAGAAAAAAAATACCTATTTAAACAAATACATACATTAAATGAAAAAAATGGACAGAAAACAAGCTGTTAATTAATAACAATATTTGAAAAAATCAACATACTTATGTAAAAGGATTTTGGACTCTACAGGTGTATTCAAAATCACTAAAAGGCTTCCTGGTTTAAAAGCAGAATGGAGATATTGATGCTGTGAGAAACACAAAATCCAGCGACCATCTGCTTGTAGCTGGTTCTAAAGAAATACATTTGCTTAAGGTGAGTAACAGGGAAGACAGCATTCAAGTGACACTTCAAACCCTGCTGCCAGGATCTAAGTTGTGACACATCAGGGATTGTGTGTTCCTCCCTTTCAATCATGGTACCCGCAAACATATTTTATTCTTTTTGGCTTTACAGAAATAAATGCCATTTGAATTGTTAGGATTGTAATCCAGACAATTTGTATTCACACTAGATTTCAGAGGAAAACTATAGCCCAAATAATAAGTTGCTGAACTTGGAGATCACAACCCCTCCTCACTTCCTTAAATCCTCCTGTCACAAAGGGGACTGAAGTCCTACGCAATCATTGTCTGAGCTCTGGTAGCTGAACTCATTTATTAATCAAAGTACTGTGTCACTGTTGTTGACTATTGAACTACAAAGACTTTTACAATATTGGAGAAGATTTTAATATTGTTTAATCTTATTTTTTGCTTAAGTGACAGAATAAAACATATTGCTGTTTGTTTTGAGGCAACAGTACAAAGGTTTTCTCATGGATTTTTGCTGTTGAAGATGAAATTCACAAATCTTAGGGGGTTTTGATTGTTTTCTTTTGCCCCCTTTCTCATTTTATAGTATTTATTGAATAATGCCTGCTGTCTGAAGAAGACGGATCTATTCTAAAGGTAGGTCAAGCCTTAAGAAATTTATGAGTATTTATCACTCAAACTTGTCACGCCATTCTACATGCCAGCAATATTACAACTTGGACAAGAAAGTGGAAGAAATTGTTGCTTGTTCCTGCAATACGTCAATTCTTGTTCTATGTGGCACAGGCCATTTAACATCAATTAATGTATCTATCAATATCGATACCTATACTGCCATTTTTGAGTCTAGATAATAAGGACAGCATATCATCCAGAAATACCTTTTTGTGCCAAAATTTGTGATGAATTTGCACTACAAGTGAACATGGAAAACTTGTGTGCATATATATATATATACACTCCCATATATTTGGCATGTACACACACACAATTATATATATGTTTATATAAAAATGATTTTAACATAATACTTTTCACATGGATTAAAGTAGCAATGCCGTTATTATGGCTTGCCCTCTACATTACTGCCCTTCTTGAGTAAAGCAGAGATTCGAGTCCTGTCACTACTCTTCAGTTTTTCACATCTATACTAACCTAAAGGAAAGGGTTAATGAGGCTTCCAGAAATCATGCCACCTGCATAGTTAAACATAATAAATGCAAGAAGTGGCTATCTTATAGGAACTGCCTTTGTGAAGGCTTTTAACCTCTTAATTACACTCTTGAAAAGACTCCTGCAATTTCAAAGGTTTCAAGAAATAATTCCTATTGTAAACCAGAAACCAATGCAAGAACCACCTTGTGAACAGAAAATTCCTAGACTGTATGAAACAAGAAATTGAATCTGTGCACACCTTTATCTGACAGGCACAATCCAGTTTAAGCAAACAAAAGAATAATAGTTTTCTTTTCCTCAAAGAGGTCTCTTTTGCTGGCGATCGTCTTTCAGGTGATAGTAGCTTTTCTGTCCAAACCTGTATCATTCCATCTTGGGTCTGCTACACAGCTGTCTAAAGGTTTCTACTGACCACTCATATTCTCCTTCTGTTTTAATTCTGTCACAAAATATCGGTCCTTTGCACAGACTATACAAACTATGTTTGGTTTACTTCTTCAACTTCTTCACCCAAGGAAAAAAATATTTGCAACAAAGCCTGAGTGAGACTGTCATTTTGTTTAGAAACTGCACTGAAAATTCAACAGTCTCTTTCAGAGCAACAAAGGAACTCTTGTTTGCTTGGCTTATCGTGTTTTGGTCCAGAATGTGTATAGAGTGATGTGATCTCAGCAAGATTTTTTTTTGTTTGTTTAGCAGAAAGAAAATCTAATATAGTCACTAGACCAGGATTTTCTCATGACTTTTTCAAAGATCAAAGGAAAGAACCGTAACCTCAAAAGTATATACCTGAGATATTTCAGTCTGTGTCTGGTCAATAAAGAAAAAAGGCACTGACCAAATAACAATTATACGATAATTAATTCTTAGGGCTGTTTCACCTTTAGAAACCTTAATGAATGCTTTGTATATTAAGAGGTAAATGTTGTTCAAGATGGACTTAAGAACCTGGGAGCTAGTACAGTATAATGTGTGTCTGTGTAGTGCTAAGTTATACACAGAGGACATAATTTTGCTGGAAATCAATTCATTTCATTAATTCTGTTCTTCAGATTTTGGCTGAATTGAATGTATGCAAAAGATGTTGATGTTCTGGTGGAACTTCTTTATACACAAAAAAGGAAGAGAGCATGTTCAACACATTTCTCAACCAATACATCTTAACTCTAACCAGACCGGATAGCTTGGTACAGATGCTCACTCTACCCTTGTCATTGTTAGACTTTTACCAGTGATGTTGATGACCACCGCACACTGTAGCAATACTTTTTGTGATCGTTACTTGAATTTCCAGATTGACTTTCACATTTGGACCTCGGAACTTTTTAGGAAAACAATTTTATTTCGAAGTAATTCTCTGAAAATATAAGGTGGCTAATTAAAAGTATAGAAAAAAGTCAGATGACACTTTACTCTGTCCAAAGAACCTGCCTGCTTATCTAAAATCATCTAGATATTTTATGCTGCATATTCAAAATCAGTAGATACTTTAAAAAATTTAGTCATTTCTTGTATCAGGTAACAATGGAATTCTGTGGATAATTTAGAAACACTCTATTTTCTGCATCGTGCATTGAGACAGCAGGAGTGGCCTTGTGGTTGCAAAATGTGAACTGCAAGCGCAGCAAGAAGGAACTCATGATACTCAACTGACTGAACAAGAACACGGCAGATGAATTTCAGCATAGATAGGTGTCATGTGAAGCAATTCAAACTTTACATGACAAACACTTGAGGAGCTACTGACATGCTAGAAAGAGGTCCCGCAGTTGTAATAAGTATGAAAATAACAGGTCAGTGTTCAGTAAAGGTTAAAAAAATTAAGCAAAATGAAGTTTGGGGAATTAGTAGGAAAGCGAACAAAAAAAGCATCCAAAATTCCCCTCTATAAATCCATAGTGGGCAAACACTTTAAACATGCTGTGCGGGTCTGATCCCCCTTGACTCATCTCAAATCAAATATATGAGAACTGAAAAAACATTCAGTAATACCGATGAGGATGACCAGAGCAAGGGAATAGCTCCCACATGAGAAACAATCCTAACAGCCTATGTCTGAAAAACATGACTAATGGGGATACAACAGAGGTCTACAAAATCTGGTGTAAATCAATAAGGAACTGCTTTTTCCACTTTCTCCTGATGCTGCACTTAGAGAACATCGAATGTGGTGGTGAGAAGTTCCAACTAAGTAACAGGATGTACTTCACCATGCTACACACAGCCAGCTGATCAGCAGATATTCTGCCACAAAAAATCCTGAGTGTTACATTGCCTCAAAAAGCAATCGTACAAACTCATGGAAGAAAATTCTTTAAGAGCTACTAAATTCAAAGCAGCCACAATAGGTTCAGTGAGTCCTTGAGTGCAAACCTCTGGCAGCCGGGACAGTTTAGCAAAGGAGTATTATTATATTCTTTGCCAGACCTTCTAGTTTTTTTTTGGCATCTGCTCTTGAAGACTGGACACCGGGCTAGGTCAGCTTCTAGCATGACCTGGTACAACCATCCTTACGTTATGCGGCAGAAGCACATCAAAATAATTATTTCATTCATACCACGAAGCAGCCAATCCTCACTCCTGGTCTAGCAGTTCTGGCAGGAGTTCTGTTAAAACTGAAGCTTGTGGACTGAGTAAGCACAGCACAGTCAAGAACTATATACAGGGAGACCTGCCTGAAGCACATAATATAATTAAGCATCTTCTAGTACACTTTGTTTCATGACTTAATAGTGTTTTCCATACCGCTTAAAAAGAAAAAAATTACACCAATTGACAAAAACAAGGGGTGTGCTTGAAAAGAAAAAAATTACATCAAATGAAAAAACCCAAGGGAGTCATTTGGGATTCTTTCTTTTCACTTGTAAAGACTCTTAAAAAAACATGGGAAAGACCAGTGCTCAAGGGACCATATTATTCTTGACAGACAGAAAGCACTGCAGAGCAAAGGAGTGTCTTCTCAGACGGTGAACCAGTTTATAACGCTGCAAAGACGCTTCTGGTGTCATGAAATTACTGGAATGAAATCAGTCACTTTTGATGTTTAATTGAGAGTACAATTCCCTTGAAAAGCAGCTCAAAGAGAATTAAAAGAAAAAGCTGATTCAGCACATTATTAAGTGATATTAACAGGTAATTAATAGGTAATCATATATTATTGTTCAGGCAAGCTGATTTATCAAGTATACTCACAGAGACTGCAGGCTGCGCAAGTTCTGGAGTGCTTCAGTAGGAACTTGGCGTAGTTGGTTATTCTGCAGCATCCTACATTTTGAGTAGCATAAAAACCAGAATCAACACACTAAAGACAATTTCTTTCTATTTTAAATTTTAAATTTTCTTCCAAGCTTACCTCCTTTGTACTGGTTCTACTTCAAGATTACAAAGCAAATCTACACAATTACTCTGTTCCCCTGTCAAATGTCAGTTCTCTTCAAAGCAAACAAATACCTGTAGCATATTAGCTTTGTTAACAGCTACACATCAGCTTTGAGGCGGATTTTCAAAGCAGCTGAGGAAGTTAAAAGAATAAATCCCATTTGCTTTCAACAGGGCTTGAGCTCCTAATTGCCTCCAGTGATTCTGAAATGGTCATCCTCATATACTGATTTTGTTTTCCTTCTGAAGCGCTTCAGTTTCTTATTCTGATAATGCTGTGAAGGATTGACTCTTGAAATCCTTACTCATGAAAATGCTACTATGGCAAAGAGAACTTTTAACTGTATATGGAGTTTATGATTGTGTTTAAATAAAACTTTATCTCTGTAAAAAATGCTGATTTTTTCTCAATGAAATAAATTTTCTCAAACAGAATGTTGCTAGAAATGACCTGACAAATCTCTTTTCTGAAATATCACATCATTTAGCTTGCAAAGATTGAAAAATAACTTTTCATTCCAAAAGAATCTTTTCTTCCCTTTGAATATGGCCTAATATCCTTGTTTAGATCAACTCCTACGTATATAAAAGGATTCTATGTGAGTAAAACTGAAGTAGTACATGCTGCCTTCAAAATGAGGCATACTTGACGGGACATTGTAAATGAAATAATTTTTGGCAGACCTAAATCTCCTTAGGTCAACAAGAGCTACAGCTGGCCAACATAAGTGTAGATGGAGTGGGAAAGTCTTCATACTTCTATCCCACTTAGGTATTTTTTCAGTAGAGCTTTTTATACTCTTACAGTGGCATCTGGCTTGGCTTGATGCTGCCTAGGAGGTTGGCATTGTTGCTAATAATACAGTTTCTATGATCTTTACAGAGGCAAAGATCCCCTCTAGTGTAAATATTATGAGATGTAGCCTGCTAATAATTTTAGTAGCTATATGTACTGTCTTATTGTTCCAAATAATACAGGCTTTGTCATATTTTTTATACTTTATCTTATAGTAATTACATCACAAAGAACAAGATATGAAATATGAACTTCATTTTAAATTACATGGTGTTCTACAGCAAAGTTTTTTCCCCCCAGGTCTCAAGAAAAGAAAAAGGGAATTTACCCCCAGTTTTGTGTGATCATGAAAAGTCCACTAAGAGTTTTAGACTTGATATCAGAACTTTTGAGGAAATTAAAGAAACTATTGACTGAACCAATTTTTACCTTTGATATTGTACAGAGACATCTACTTGATGAGCAAGTTGTTTTTAGAATGCCATTAATGTTTTCCAACTTTTGTGTTTAGGACATTTTCTATATGAAAAAACAAAGATTTAATGATGTTCATATGTATCTTCACTCCAGTTGAGTTGTTCAAAATGAGCTGATCAAAATATGTAATTTACTTGATCAAAACTTCACTGGTTAATTAGTTCCCTGGAGCATTTAGGAAATCAGAAATATATCAAACAACACACAGTTTACTTACAGCACTTTAAGATTGAAAAGGCCAGCAAATGCTCCCTTAGGAATGTATGTCAAGCCATTTCCTGCAAGACGTCTGCAAAGTTTGAAAAAGGGAAAGAAAGTGAGTGAATACTTTTTCTCTTCATGTGGAATTAATTTGGTTGTTAAAAAGTGCAATACAGCTATGTTTGAGCGACTGATGCCAGAGGCAGTAGTTTAAGAGCCTTGTTTTGTCATTAATACTTTTAAAAGCAAAGAAAAAGAGAGCTCTTAACTGTACAGTTGATTTACTGACAGCTGGATTGCAGAGACGAAAACGCAATTTCATTACAAGCCGAGCTTATGGTTTAGAATGCACATCTAATTCTTCATATTGTTCTTTTTAAGGATTAGAGCAATCTCAGCAACTAAAATACAGATGTACTGACAACAATTAGAATCATTGGATTTACAGGCATGTACATAGAATTGTGCATGTATTATATCTGTGAATATTTACCTCATTTTCACTAATGTAAAAATATATCCACATAGTAATGACCACAGTTCATTTTGAAATGCCTACACATAAAACTGCTGTACTGATGGAATCATAGTTTTCTGTGTGAGCAGATGTGTAATAGGTCAGCATAAAGCGTATTTGCTAAAATTTGTAAGGCTTTTTTTCCTTACTTCTATTGCATCTTCCTTCTCAGAACACCTGAAAGTATTTTACAGATCTCGGTAAATACAGCAAATACCTCTGTAAAGCATGTTACTCTGCTAAAAAAAAGAATGCATTCTGTAAGGTTTGCATCTAGGAAAGAGGTCATGTATTTGATGATCTGTATTTGATATTTGATACATATTTGACGTATCATGTATTTGATAATGGCATTTCTACATTCCCCATCAGTGCAGCTCCAAAACATCTTGCATTTAGCCTCCTGATACCTCAGTTCAGTGTGAATGTGCTACGATACCTGTACCCTAGCTGGAACGCTGACTGGTAGGGGTCAGACTGCCAGTCAAGTTACACTGTGTCAATACAGCCATAACGTCCACTTTTAGATGGAAACAAAAGTGGATTGATCTGATGTAACCCTCTTCTATTTGCAGACCAAGTTAAGTCAAGTGGAATTGATATTTCCCATCAGCTAAGGTATTGCACACCAGAATTGCAGACAGTTACCACAGACCAGTTGGTTTGATAACAGAGCTAACATTTGATTTGGCCTCTGGCCCCTTAGGAAAGACCACAGGACTAGACTCAGGTCCTTGCCTTAGGTAACAACCTGCCAGAGAGGAACCTACAGCACTGAAGTAGGCACCACAGTTGCCAATGCTGTTCATGGACAAGGCCAGGTGCTTATGACTGCAGTCCCAAAGGTCCAGCACTGACTGGCCCTTAAATGTCTTCCTTTGAAGTTTAGTTGACCCAAGCTAGCTCCAGGGTCCTGAGCACACCTTCTCTTTAGAATCTCTTTCATACAGAAAACAAAAATAAAAATTGGGCCATAAAGAAAGAAAACATGATTATAGATGCCAGCTCCAAAGACTTACCAGGCATTTTCAATTTGTGGAAAAGGCTCTTCCCTGTACACCCCCCCCTCCCCCGCTGAGCCATGTGACCCATAAATCTGAGCAAGTGGCTCTTCCTCTCACTTTTAAATGAATTTAATTGTGCTCTGCAGAGGCACTCCGCGTCAGACAGAGCTGCTGAGCTCATCTCCCTTTGGAGTATACTGGAGTCTGATGTTCAGACATCTGAGAATTGGGCACGTGCACCTGCATTCCTGCAGGCGGATGAGTGAACCAAACCTGGCTCACTCTTGCTCCAAGGTGAGGCACTCACAGGCTGAGCCTATGTGTTTGTTTGTTTGTTTTTTTCAGATGTGTAAGGGGTTTCTTCAGCTTCAGCTTTCATTTCATTTCATTGCCAAAAATGGCAATGACTTTTGGGTTGTTGCTGGATCAAGCAGGTGTGTGCTAGGTTAGGCACACCAGACTGGGTCCCTGAAAGTAAATGTCATTTGCAGATCACTGGCTAGGAGAGGCTCAGGACCTATCTGCTTCTCATCTCAGTTTATGATATGATTTTTTGGAAAGACTAAAGACTGCTTCACCCCCACAGCACCCTTTTGCTCTGTTATTTTAATGGCATGACTGGACACGAGCCTGGCATGAGCCAGAATGGGAGGAGTCTGCAAAACTTTACTGGAAAAAAAGTAGGTACAGGTATTGAAGTTTTCACTTACAGCCATAAGGTACTGCTTTGAGTGTCATACGGTAAGCTTGATACAGAGCAGAGGACTAAACCCCCACGTCTAAAGACTCAAGCTGGTGCTCTGTCAGGCCACCGTCTCTTCTTAAGAGTGGCTGTGGGGCAGCAGTTCTTGTAATTGTCACACTGCAAACTGCCAAACACACTACATGTTCATACTGCCTGTTTGAACTGGAAAACTCTTAATAAAATGGGCTAGCTGAGAAAATCAGACCTGTTTAAGAGCTTCTGGAGAAGGACTCTGGCAATTGCCATGCATACTCCTCCCTGTTCCAAATGCCGGACTGTGGCAAATTAATTGGGACACTATGCAGCTTTAAAGTTTTGTTTCTATGTGTTATACTCACTTTTCCCGGCTTCAGAGCATCATCATGGCTTTCTGTGGTAACCTTAATGTTTGGCATTTTTTGAAAATGTACTGGCATAATTTTAAAGACATTTTTATGGTACCTGTAATGTATATCTGACATATTTAGAAAGAAATACCTAAGCATAGAGACACACCTATACATGCTAGGCATCTCACTGACATTCAGGATGCCTTTAGGGAGACTGAACTGCATTGGGTTGTAGTTGTGCTAGTCTCTGATGGCTAAAACTTTTCCACGTAACTTTTTTCCCTGTTTCCTTTTGTGGTCAGATTTTCTGTGAAACTGTCTTCAGGAGAAGATTTTTTCAGAGTAAACTATTGTCATTCTGACTGAAAGGTCCATTTGGATCATCTGGCCACCCACAATATACCACCCTAACAGCACGATGCGTCTGCATGGCCCCGGCTCCAACATCTTTTAGAGGAGTATCCGAAGCCGACAGATGGTTGTAAGCAAGGGATGCTGAACCATGTTCCTGAGCTGCTCTGGGTGATAGTTACCTGCACTGTTAAACTGAGACATAATTTTTTCCTCTTTTCTTTTGTTTTTGTTTCAGGTTCCAACCCTTGTTTTATATTCTGCTTCTTTTCCTTTTAGATCACAACTTCCCAATTAAATGTCTCGTACAAACATTTTAGACAGATGAAAACACACATTAATCATCTTTTTGGTAGACATAACTTCTGCATTTGCTCCTGACGCCTTCTTCAAACCTCAAGTCATTCTTGAAGTTCTGCTTTGAATGTTTTTCAGTTTGCAGACAGTGAATAATACTATGTTGTATGATACTCCTCTGCTTTTGCAGCAGCAGATCACACTCATCATGTATAACCCTACATATTTCAGTAGAGGCCTACATCAAACGTATCACAAATGCCAAAATACATGTATGTCCACGCAGTTCTCTCACCAAGCAAACTGACAATGTCAGAAAAGGTAGACATCTGGCAACAATTATTTTCTATGAAATGATGTTGTCTGACCTTCAGTCACCATATTATATTCTTTTTCATGATGCCCTTTTCATGATTTTCTGTGGAACTGACTTCAGGCGAACCACCTATCTATTCCCAAGACACTCCGTGAGACCACTTCCGAACACTGGCACAACAGTAGCATCTTCCCAGCCCTTTGGAAATCCCCAGAATTGTGGTATTTGGTAAAAATCAGCAAAAATGATTCATTTGGATGGTTGTCTAATTCTTTCAATATTCTTGGATGAAAGTTAGCAGACCAGTTCTTTAAGGCATGCTGCAAAGCTCATTAGGTTTGGCTTATTTGTTCCTGACCATTTTAATGCCTTCCTTGTGGGTTTTTCCTGCTATTACTGTGTTTCTATTCTCAGTCTTGGCATAGGTGAAAATTAATCCCCTTGTTGACACTACAGTACCTATCAAGTATGTATCAGAGTTTATGTTTCTCCACTTCAGGGATTTTGTTTTCCATTACCCTAAATTATTTGAGGGAAGCTGCCCGGTATTTTACTGAACTTTGGAGGGACATTGGGTAGTGATTTTAGTCTGGATGGGTAAATCCAGACTTTCCCTGAGCAGATGAGGATGGACGTAGCATCTGTCTCTATAGTCCAGCATTTAGTAGAATACGGTTCCCCGAGGACGAGGGCGTACGACGCCTTGCATAACTAAATGGCTGGTTTCTATTGTTTGAACAACTTTGAATTTCAGTTTTTAAAAGTTGTTTCTTTTATTTACAGCATTTCTGACATTATTTTAGAAATATGTCATTAAGTACATTCAGGCTCAAATGTATCACATCTTTTTAATGAAGAAGTAATCAGAAGTGCACAGCATTACCGATTTTGGATCATATTTTTGGAGCTGTATTATTTTAGAACCAGATTTTACTTATGCTGCTTGCTATAATCTTGCAAATTAATGGAAGCTGGAAAAGTGGGGAAGTGTTACCACATACTTCCCTCAGTACCTGCTACTTGCCACTGTTGGAGTCAAGATATCAAGGATATTCTGGCTTTAGCACAGGCTGTTTTTATACTACTGCATGTTTCTTTCTAAAAGATGTAAAATAAATGAGCTGAGAGAAAACCATGCTGCCTCCATCCTGTCAAATGGCAGCAATTTATAAAATACATTTCAATGCAGTTCAGCCCAGCTGGCAATCTCTGCTCACTGCTGGAATAGCTGCAGTGCTGCAGGTCAGGTTCATGGCCTGCGGTCGGATCTAAGAAAAGGCGTGTCTGGGCTCTCCTTTGAGTGTTCCCCACCTGTTTAGCACTTTGGTGTATTCTGACCTCTCCTGCAGCGTCATAGTTCTGAGAAATGGTGGTCACCAAGTCAGGAGAACATTCCCAAAGACAACGCAACTAATAAGACACCCACAGAAAGCTCTGAAAATGATCAGAAACATTTTTTTTGGTTTCCTTTCCATTGTTGCTTGTGTCTGAAAAGGAAAACTTCATTCCTCAGAAAGAAGCAAATAAAC